CCCCCCTGGGGGCCCCGGTTTTTTTCCCGTCAATCCCCCTTGTGATTGGGAAAACACCCATAACTAGTAACTTTTTCTCCCCCCTTGGTGGCTCCCTGGCCACCCCCCGGCTAGTGTGGGTTTATCATTGCTCTGTTTTCTCTCCCTCGTATTCTTCTCCTTTGGGCCCCCTGCAGTTCCCGTGGGGGGGTTGTACATTACTGCAAATTTTCACCCTTTTTCCCTCAAACTGGGGTTTTTTCCTTTCTAAGTAGCCCTTTTGCCCATGCCATCCAATTTCCTTTCCCTTTTTTTCAAAACCCCCCTGCTTTTTAATGAGCCCCTGCAAAATCCTTCCCCCCCCTCTCCTCCCTCTGTCTTTCCTGAAAATTTGATATCCGGATGGAAAGATTAATTGTTATTTTTTCTGGTGAATTTTGTTTTGTGGTCATTATGTCCGGGGGTGTCCTTTGATTTTTTGTGCCACTCCCATACTTGTTTGTTTTTTCCATCTGCATTTGTATACCACACCCCCTTTAACTTTTTTTTCTAAAAATGTGGGAGAAGTTTTAAATTTGGGGTTGGGGGGAAATGGGAACCCGGTTAGGAAAAATATGGGTTTTTGCTGTGGGGGTGAAGTTTAAAGTAGTGGGTGGGGGGAAGATTTGGGGTGGGAGGGGGGTTTTTTATTTGAGGGGTTTGGTTGCACGGGGGTTGACCTGGTTTGGGGGCTTTGGGGTTTGGGGTGTGTGGTGTTTTGTGGTGGGTGTGTGGTTTTGTGTGTAAATTTTGGTGTTAAATTAAAGGGGTGGAATTTTGTGTGGGGTTTTTTATGTGTCGGAAAAAAATAGGGGAATTTTGCGTTGGAGTGAATGTTTAGTCTCATTGGGCGCTTGCCTACCACAACCCCTTGTGACCCGAATCCCCACGCTTTCCCGGGGCCCAAAACCCCTGTGTTTTGGGGCGTTTTGTGTGTGGTGTGTGTGTGTGTGTGTTGTTTGTGTTTGTGTGTGTTGTGTGTTTATTTGCTTCCCAATTGGGGTTTGGGAGGGGTGGGGCTCAGCTCCTGGCCCCGCCCTTTAAATGATCGCTTTCTGGGTCCCTTTCTCTCGCTTCCCGAGCTTTGTCATCCCCCTTTCTTAAAAAATATGTATGGTTTCCTGCCTCCACTACTTCCCCTTGCTACTATCCACTTTTTTGACAAAAATATGGGCTGAAGAAAAAAACTTCCTAACGTCCCTTGGGGACTCGTCTGAGGGCTTCAGCTTCCATTGTGAACCCCCGCCCTGTGTCCCCTCTCTGGAAAAATCCTATCTTTTGTCCACCCTTTTCAAATTCCCCCCAGTATCTTTTAATTTTCTTATCAAGTCTCCCCTGTGTGTGTGTGTTTTGTGTTTTGTGGGTCGTGGGTGCTGGCTATCCCGTATTTACCCCCTGTGGGGGTTCATGCTAAACCCCAAATATGGTGTAAAGAAACCTAGTTGGATAAAACTTATTTTAGCCAGCTGGGAAAAGGCTTGAAATGTTAAGGGCTCCCCTTGCCAAAGAGTTTTAACTCCCCCCCGTACCATGGTTTAACAGGCACGGCCTTTTGATTTCCTTTTTCATTTTCTTTTTAATGGATCTAATTAAGAATTTTTCCATTCCCAATGGAAAATCTGGAAAATTTTTCTTCCTTTTTTAAAATTTGGGGTATGAGGGGTTTTTAAGTCCCATTATAAAAACAATTCTAACCCTTTCTCCATTTGCAAAATGGTGGAACATAATTAATAAATGGGGAAAAAGGAACACTTCTTTTTTCAGATGAAAAAAACCCTTTTTTCCCCAAACCCCTTTCAAGCTGGGAAAGGGGTACCAACCCTAGCCCGTGTAAGTTACCAATATGTAATTCTTCCTAAAACCATTAATGTGCTTACCTCGGGTTTTCCTTCAAGGCTTTTGGGCTTCCCCCTTAGGATTTCTTTCCCCCCCTTTTTTGGTTTACCCAAAAAAGGGGAAACCCTTTTAAAAGGGTTTCCCGAATTTTTTTTGTTTCTTTTTCCAAATTTTCCCTTATTTGGCCCGTAAAAAAGTGAAAGAATTTAACGACATGTACTGGAAAAGGGGGAAACCATCCCCATAAAATTGGGTTTTGGAGTGATAGGGGTTGGTCAAAAATTTTTTGAAAAAAAAATTTTAAAAAGGAAAAAACCTAAAACGAAAGAGGTGACCCGGTTTGGCCCATGGAAACGATAGCATTTTTTATGTTCATGTTTATGTAACTTTTGGGGAGGGCCCAGGCCTGGCCTGGGACTTCCCCCCCCGGTTTAAAAATAAGAAGAATAAAAATTTTTGTTCGGATTTTTAAAAACCCCCCGGGGGGGTTTGCCACCCAGGGTTAAACCCCCGAAAGTCATGGGGTTTATCGAGGGCTGTCTAAACTTTTTTCCATTGGGGGCCCTTTTCTTGTCCCCCCGGGTGCGACCCCACACCAGTCGACAAAAAACCCAGGGACCTATTTTTTGCTAGGAAACAAACAAAAAGGGGTAAAGGAAAAAGTGTCGAAATGTTTTTCCCCCCGCCGGGAATCGAACCCGGGGGCCCCCGTGTGTGAAGCGGGGGGCTTTACCAAACCCGGGCCCCCGGGCCAAACCCACAAAGGTAAAATGGTGTAGCTCCCGAAGGGGGTGTCAGAGTTTGTAAAAATGAAAGTACCATTTACAGCCCTATACAGGGGGACGGTGAGCTTCCTGTCAAATGGAGTCCGTTTACAGCCCTATGAAAGGGGGGGACGCTTTCCCGGGGAATGTCCAAAAAACAAATTGAATAACCCAAGCCTGCCAAGTGATGGGAAAGTTTCAAAATAAAAGATAACCAGCTACTTGGGAGAAGAACTTTAGGCAAAATTATTAATAACTATCAGAGCTGGGTATTTTTAAGGGTGATCCTTAAAGAACACCATTACGGCACAAAGCTCGGTGGCTTTGGGAGGGAACTCCTTTGCCTCACAACTGAATGACCCTGGTTCAATTTCCCGGGCCAAAATAAAACATTGGGAGTGTTTCCTTTCCAAACCCGCTTCCCTGTTCACCTAGCAGTAAGCAGGTTCCCCGGGGGTTTAAATTTACTGGTGTTGGGGGCGCAAACCCGGGGAAACAAGAATTAAGGAAAAAACCCCTCCTCGATGAAAGCCCCTGACTTTCCCTTTAGTTATCCCTGGGTGGGTAAACCTCCCCGGGGTTTAAAAAACCCAAAAAAATCTTATCTTAACACTAAATGTCCCCCCCTATAAAAAAATTTGTGAGAAAAGGTCAAATAATTTTTACTCATTTGGCCCAAGCCAAAAGGCTTGTGATTATGTTACAAAAAACAATAGAAAATTTTTTCCCGATAAGAAAAAAATAACCAAATGGTTTTTCACAAAGGCATTCCAATATATTTATAAGATGGAAAAAGAACCCCCCCCCAAAATGATGGGGAAAAAAAGAGAGTTTTTGAGTCTCCCAAACCCCAGACGAAGGCCCCCTTTTTTTAAATAATGCTCTAAACATTGTTAATTAGCAATGGAGCAATGAATGTAAACACCCCGGGGCTCGATTTAAAAAAAAAAAGTACTGGGGATTTTCCGGGCAGGGGTCAACAATCCCCTTGTACCATAATCTAAAAAAAGGGTTTTTAAGGGTTTAAACAGTTGCTGTGGGAAATTTATTCTGCATCGCCCATTGGGGCCCTGCAGACCCCCCTTTCCTGACGCTCCTCAGTAACCCCACAGCGTGGTACGAGGAGGGTGTTGGGGCAAACGCTGCCCGGGTGAGGTTTTGAGTGCGGGCGTGCTTTTTCAAACCCCCTACTGTTTCCCAGACGGGTAATCAGTCAAAAGACATGGCGCCAGGTGTTTTTGCCCGGAAAGTGAAAAACTGTGGGGGATTGGGAAAATTTTTATTTGGGGGTTTTAACACCTACGTCAGTCG